TTGTATTCACTCACCAATGAATGAGATATCTAATTTCGCCAGCATTTCAGTTATTGTGTTTTATTTTAGTCCTGATATCTTTGTAAATAATAATTTTAAAATTCTATTGTTTTTTCTAATTTTTAAAGATAATTCTTTTATAAAGAACTTTTCCTTAAGAGGTGTTTGATAACCACGAACTATAGTCTCTTCGAGAAAGGAAGAAAAAATATTCAGTTTTCTTTTTTGTTTACCCCTCCCACAGCCAATTTTCAGAAAAACAAACAAACAAAAAACAAAAAAAACCCCAACCAAATCTGTCCTCCTAGCCTTCTGAGTGACTAATTAGCCTTTTAGAAAAGTATCATTATGAATTTGTGGATTTAAAATATATTTGATGTGATTATCTTCACAGGGTGAATTACTAGAAGAATAATTGTCATATGAAAGGGTAGGAAAATATAAATTTTTTATTTAGATTACTCTTTTCATCTGTAGAAAGGCTGTACCATTCATGTTCTTAGCAAAGTATATAAAAATATTTATTTTTCCATATCCTTGCAACCACTGATAGTTGGCCAGTTTTTTATTTTTATTAATTTGATGGCCCTTGATCCTAGCATTGCACCATGAATCAATCCCAGGGTCACACACTCTAGATCCAGCCACTTCTGAAAAAGCCCCATCTATGACTACATGAGGCATTGGGGGGACATCTAGACGCAAGTCGTAACAGTTACCTTTACCTATGTTACTATTAGGATATTTTCTTTTTTTTTCTTTTCTTTTTTTTTTTTTTTGGTACCAGGGATCAAACTCAGGTCCTTGTGCTTGTGCAGCAGGCGGTGAAACCACTGAGCTAAATCCCAGGCCCTATTAGGATATTTTCTTTCATTTTTGTTTTCTTATACCTCTCAACCTTTTCCTTGATGTTTTCTGCTTTCTGTTTGCTTAAAACTTTTCTTACCTTAACATTATAAAAATAGGTACCTATTTTTGGTGCATCTCTAGGATTTTATTGTTATATTTAAATATATCCTCCATGGACAACTTATTTCTACATCAAGAGTAAGTAAGAATCCAGCATTATGTTTTCTCAAATGTCTAACCAGTTTTCCCAATTCCAGTTTATTAAATATCTTCTCCCATGAACTCTGTATTGAACTCAAATCCATTTACTCACCATTTGAGAAGAGGCCTACTGAGTCAAAAACAAGGTTTTGGGGTCAGGGGAAAGGCTTATTTGATAAGCCAGCAGAACCAAGAAGATAGTAAGGTGGTGCCCAAAGAAAACCCTCAGAACCCTCAGCCTGTTTCATGCTTCTTCTATTCTTGGACACAGGGTAAAGAAGTGGGGCTTAGGAAGGCTGGCATGAAATGTTGTGGAAGCTGGTGTTTGGCAATCTGGGTCATGATGCTTTTGTAAATCTTGAAAATATTTCAGTTGTTCTTATTTTGGTATCTTCAGCTTTGAAGAGATGAGAAAGATCTAATTAGGGAAGTCTTGAGTAAACCAACTTTTTGCTACCAATTCCTAGCAGATTCAGTAAAAGACTAACATGTCTACATGCAGAGTTGAACAGAAACAATCTAACCTAAAGGTAAGGTAGGTAGCAAAGGAGGCAGAGACAATACAGACACAGAGGTGCAAAGCTTTGTCACCCTATTTTAGTCACACATTAGACACCTGCACAGGCCCAAATGAAGTCTGTGCTTCCAACACAAGCAGCCTTCAAGTCCCTAAAAAGTAACCTAGGTCATCGTCATCATTATAATGCATACTTCAGTGGTGTCATCCACAGCAAACCTACTTGGGGACTAATGACATATTGCTTGGCTACATGACCTCAAAAATTATGTAGTGATTTTTTGTTTGGTACTGGGGATCGAACTCAGGACCTTAAGCTTGTGAGGCAGGCGGCGGAACCACTGAGCTAAATTCCTAGCCCTATGTAGTGATTTTTAAAGTCTTCTACAAGCAGGTAAAGCTGGAGGGTTTGTTTCAGTTTTTCCTTGGCTACAACTGAATTGCCACTTTTATCCTAAATTTTATGTAATGTTGAGTCTATTTCCGTTTTATATTACTTTCTGTCAATTTATCTATTACTGCTCCATTGTCAGTTTACACCGTTGATTTTACCATTGACATCTTTGTTATTGGTGTTTGTGAAATTATGATACTCATATCAACTTATTCATGTATGACTATTGCTTTGTAATTTGTGTGTGTGTGAGGTGGTGGTGGTGGTAGATAGTGGGGATGGAGCTCAGGGCCTTGCATGTGCTAGGCAAGCCCTCTACCACTGAGCTACCACTCTGGCCTCTATAATGTGTATTAATAATGAGTGGTGCCTCTCTTTTTCCTTCCATGACTTCGTTGGCAGAGCTCATAAATTCGACCAGATGAATTTTAGAAATATTTGTATTAGGTTCCTCAAATATCCCCTTCATATTTTGATTGTGATTTTATTCAATTTACAGATTTAGGAAGAACTGGTTTCTTTATAATTATGAACCTTTATACTTAAGCACATAGTCTTTCATTTATTGAAATCATGTTTTATATCTTTAATATTTTTATAATTTATCCATGACCTTATTTCTGTTTGTCATTTGTCAAAAGGCCTTTAAATTTGATCAAAACTTTTTAAAGTATTTCAGACCTTCTGGGAAAAATGTATTTATAATCTATAATATTAGGTTTGTAAGCTACCTCCCTTTGCTAACAAGCTTTATTTCCCACCATGCTTAAGTCAAATTAGATCATGATTTCCTTCTGAAAAGCTATTGTTTACTTACTGAGTTAAGTTACAACAAACTTCTGAGGAAGATGATAATAAATTGTTGACCAAAATTGCATGCGAATGCAAAGTTGGAATTTTATATAAAAAATTCAACTGTTCTAATACAGTATCTGGGCAAATTTTTATTAAGTGACAAAACAGACCTACAGTTATAAAATAGTTTCATAAGGCATGCATCTGCCAGTAGCTGGGTCTCCTTGGTTGGACTGTTTTTTGATCCATTTCACTGTGCTTGAGAATTTATTATCTTTACCTGCTACTTATATGAGTTGTTTTAATGCTGAAACCTATCTATCTATCCCAAGTAGAATAGTAGTGATAAAAACAGTTACTTTTTACTGAGGTCCTCCTATGTGCTAGGAGCTGTCTGAAAGTGCTAGGCACTTTCACATATGTTAATTTCTTAAATTCACTGAAGGACTTTCTAAGAATTTCTCATTCTACATATCAGACAGTTACAATAAGAGATAGAGTTGATAGTTAATTTAAATATGTGCAGCTGGAGGCTCTTTGGGGGCCATGGGCTATATTACAGGTTCCCTAGGATATGTGGGGGTAAAAAGCATGTGGGTGTAGTCTGGGGGTAAGTGGAGGCAGAAGTGGTCCTAGTTGTAGCAAATCTGTTGACACTGCTGACACACACCAGTCTTTTATAATACAATGCTTCATTCTCAGGAGCTATTCTCCATTAAGTATGTTAATAGTGTTTTAGGGAATAATACCAGAGATGAAATATGAAATATTATATCTCCCAACCTGTTAACTGTCTGATACGCCAAGTTCTTGTTCTCTAGAAATTGAAGACTGAGACCTAGGAACAATGGAGGTTAAGAGTAGGAAGATATTTATTAATAGGAGAGCTCTTGAGGGGCAGGAGGGGACCCAAGTGGGTAGCCTGGGGAACCCCACTTTACAGAGGAACTTTATAGGGTGAAATCCATGTGAGTACAACATGGGCTACAGCCATGAGCATCCAATAAAGTTACAAGTATATCACTTGGGTAATGGTGGTCCAGTTGGGAAACAAGTCACGTAACAAGTGTGGATGGAAAGAACAAAGATTCTCCTAGGAAGTGGGGAGGTCCAGAGGTCTCTGGTCACCCACTGGGGTAGTTGATGTCTATCTAGACTTCATTAGGCTCAGTGTTTGTTCTTTGAGGAAGTATGTAGATCTGGTCATGTTGTCTTTAGCGGAGGCCTGGTTTTCTGCCGATGTGTCTTTGGTACAGCTGTGGTGTGTTTCACCTTTGTCTTGACCCTCTCCAGGACCTAGCCCTATCTGACTGCCTGTAGTATTTCTACCTAGGTCATCTATCTATAATAATATGTTTAAAATTTTTATTTTATAGATGCTGAACTGCTTTACTTGGTAGATTCCAGGGTCATATTTTCTGGGGTACACAGCTAAGTTTATTAATCTCTAGACAAGATTATAGGGTAAATCATTATTTTTAGGGAAAATCTATCTTCAGGTCTTTTAAAACCACTCAGTTATGAATAATATTCTACTTATAATTATTTTTTATATATTCAAATAGTTGGACCTTTTACTATTGTACACAATATGCTGTGTATTCTCCCAAATTAAGCAAAATATTTTTATAAGCATTCTATAATTCAGAGACTTTTCAGACCAAATTAATTTTGCTTATTTGTGTATGTTTTGAAATATTTTACACATTCTAATGGGAATAAATAATAATATAGTATCCATATACCTAACATCTTGCTTAAGGGACTGAATGTCATCAGTATAACTGAAGCTCCTGTGTACCCCTCTCCAGTTGCATAATTCTGCCTCTGCCTCAGAACTAGCAATTAATTATCTGCTTTTATTTTTTTAAATTTAAAAATTTTTTAAATTATTTATTTATTTATTTTGTACTGGGGATTAAACTCAGGTCCTTGTGCTTGCGCAGCAGGCAGCGAAACCACTGAGCTAAATCCCTGGCCCAATTATCTGCTTTTAAATATAACAAATGTTTTTGAGCTTTGTTGAAATGATAGTGTACACTGCAATTTGCTTTTTCTCACTCAACATAATATTTTTGAGATTTGTCTATGTTGATATATGTAGTTCTAGTCTGTTCATTTTTATTGTTTGTAATGTTTTGTTGTATGAATGTACCATCATTTGTTTATTCATTCTTCTGTTGATGGACAGTTAGTTGTTCCCAGTTTTTGCAGTTAACAAACCATGTTGCTCTTCTTTTACAGTTCCCCTGTGTGTGTTTGTAAGATATTCCATAAGGTGTCTGCCTATGAGTTGAATTGCTGGATTAAAAGGTATGCGTATTTTCAGCTTTACTAAATGTTGCCAAATTATCACCAAGAATGTTATTCATTGGGATGCCCACCTTCACTGATTAGATTCTCTTATTGTTCTATATTCTTGTGAACATTAGGTATTGTCAGACCTCATTGTGTTATTTTATGAGTAATAAATCTCATTGTTATTTTGAATCACAATTAGTAGTAAGGTTGAACTTCTTATATGTATTATTATTACAGATGTTTTTTCTGTAATAATATTGTCAGTCCTTCTTATCCATGGGTTCTGAGTCTACGGATTCAACCAATTGCAGATCAGGAATATTGGGGGAAAAAATTGCATCTGTACTAAACCTGTAGACTTTTTTTATCATGTCCTTATTCCCTAAATGATACAATATCACAACTCACTACATAGCGTTTACATTGTTTTTGTTTTGTTTTTGGTACCGGAGATCGGACTTGGGACTTTGTGCCTACAAAACAGGCATCAGAAACACTGAGCTAAATCCCCGGCCCCTAGCGTTTACATTGTACTAGGTATTATAAACAATCTAGAGATGGCTTAATGTATATAGCAGGATATACTTAGGTTATATGCAAATACTATGCCATTTTTATATAAAGAAATTCTGCATCTTTAAATTTTAGTATCTGTACTTTTATTGTATATAATGGTTGATAAGATATAAAGTTGAAAGTAGCATGACATAGTTACTATTAGATAGCACTATACAATATTTGTATCTATAAAACACTGGCAACTATGCAAATTTTCTTGAAAGTTATACTTTTTGATTTTCTGATAGTATTTTAAGAAACACTATGGCAGAAGATCCTGCCATTTTAGGAGTTAAGTTGATGCTTGAATCCTGGCTCTATTATTTACCAACCTTATGACCTTGGACAATTTATGTAATCTGTCTATTTGTTTGTCATTGAAATGGGCATAATCCCTTGTGGTTTGATGAGAGAGGTGAGATAACATAACACCTGGCACGTAGGCCTGGCATTTAGTTTTAGGAAGAGATACACATATTCAGCTTCAATAATATAAAAGATGGATGATACCTGGTAAGTACATAAATTAGTCCTGACATCCAGCAGTATTTGTGAGATTATAATGCTGCCTGTTGATAGTTGATTCTGATATAAATATACTTTCATCTCAAGGCCAAGCAGGAGTCCAGTGGCATGGAAAATCCAGAGCTGTCCTCTCTCTGCCATTTATCTGTGTTTGGCTGGCCTGGTATTCCCCGTGTACACATGCATGTACACATATATGTACATGCACATATATGTACATGTACATATACATGTACCAGCCTGTCATTTCTGTTCATCTTCTGTGCTCTGTCATTTTTCTGCAGGCCGGAACATCTGTGATAGTGACAGATCTCTCTGGAATCATAGTGGTTGCAAGGACTTAACCTTGGGACCTTTGTGTATACCCTGGAATCTAGCTCCATTTGGGACCTCCATCAGTAGCCACAGAGTATGGAAGAAATTGGCTGGGGGCTTGAGAGCTGATAGTGGGACTGCTGAGCAGTCACTTGTTAATGATTGTGAGTTGATTTCATTTGTTCTTGTATCTTGTGCCATAGGAAATTTCTTCACATGGCTGCTGAAGAAGTGACAATTACAGTTCGCCTCATTCGTTCATTTGAGCATCGCAATTTCAAACCTGTAGTGTATCATGGAGTTAATTTGGACCAAACTGTAAAGGAATTTATAGTATTTCTAAAGCAAGGTATGGATCATTAGGATCATTTTGTTTTATTAGTGTTTTGGAAAAAAAGTTGGCTTTGATGTTAATAACCTTTTGAGAAAGCGAGGCATGATGATGCAGGGCTATAATCACACACAATGTGCTAGAGGGTTGAGGTAGGAGCATCACAAGTTTGAGCCCAACTTGGGCAACTTAGTGACTTAGTAAGGATTGACTCAAAAACAACAACAACAAAAAAGGGCTGGGGATATAGCTCAGTGTGAAGGCCCTGAGTTAGTCCCCATTACCCACCCCCCACACACATGCACACAGACATGCACTGAAAAGGGTAACTTTGGAAGGTATTAATCTAGAATTGAGGCTAAGTGCTAGACTGGCTGCTATTCTGGGCCTATCAGCCTGCCAAACTTTCTCAGTGAGTAGAGTGTGTGTCTTCAGCCGTGATTGTTACTATCATATTTGACTTGAAAAATAATTCAGAACTTGGCTGGAGTTTTAGCTCAGTGGCATCATGCCTGCCTGGTAAGCACAATGTCCTGAGTTCAATTCCTAGTACCTGGGAAAAAAAATTAAGACCTAAGTTTACTTGAATGGGTTTATGTCTTTGGAGGTTAACAAAGGAGTATGGTATAGCTGATTGTGTTACCTAGCTAGGCAGAGAAGGGGCCTGTGGGACATAGCAGGAAGGAAGCAGAACCCTGTACAGCCAGGAAACCCAGAGAGGTGTTGAGTCATCAAGGTCACAGAAATGGCAACCATTCTACCAGTGCTAGTTTATCATTTTGAACTTAGAGTTGGCAAGAAGTTAATCTTCCTTTAAATAGGTCCTCAATGGGGTTTTCACCTCTGTTTTTCATTATTGAAGTGGCCCAATCATTAGTATTTAATAAAACACCCAGCATAGCTTTTATTAATTTAATTGAAGTGTAATTTATTTGTGGTGCAATGTACATATCTCAGTTTGTGGTTCCATAGGTTGACAAATGCATGACTTTAGTCTGACTTAATTTTTTTTACTTTGTTATAATTTCAGACTTCCAGAAGAGTTGTAAGAATATTAATTGTAGATGTTTTTATGCAAATTCCTCCAACATTAACATATGGTTTCCTTAATTTTTATTTATCCTTCTCTTTCCTCTGTCTCACTTTCATCACCACTTCCAGCTTTTTATTTATTTAGTTTTTCTTTCTGGATCACTGAGAAGTGTATTGAGATGATTCCCCCTTACCTCTCAGTATTTCAGTGTGTAATTTCCTAAGTGAGGAATTCACTTTCTCTTTTGTAATAAAGCATAATGATCAAGCTCAGGAATCAAGCTTGACATTGTAACAGTACTGTTATCTGATGTACAGACTTCATTGAGATTTTAATTGTCCTAATTAGGTCTTCATTACAAAAGAAAATCTAAGGTCCTATGCTGTATTTAGTTCCTTTGATCTGGACTACTTCTTTAGCTTTTATTGTGTTTTACCACCTTGCCAAATTTACATAGGATAGGCTATTTTTTAGAATGCTCCTCTGTTGGGTTTGTCTGATGTTTTCTCATAGTTTAGACTTAGGTTCTGCCTTTTGGCAGGAAAAATCATTAAATTGATGCTGGTGTCTTCTCAGTGCATCACACCAGCCTCGGTTCTATTGATCAGTGAGTGGTGCTAACACATCAGTTGGTTAAAGTAGTTTCTGGCGAATTTCCATATTACAAGTTTTTATTGTAATTGAAAAGTATCTTGTAGGGATATAGCTTGAGACTACATGAATCTCCTGTTACTTCTCAAGCCTTTAGGCACAAGTTTAGCATTCTTTGGTGATTCTTACCGGCATCAGTAATGAAGATGATGATTGATAAATGGTGATTTTTCTGATTCTATAATTTTACATGTACTAGTTAGCTTTCTACAGTAAGGGAGAACTTTCTACATTCTCTCCCTCTTTTATTTAATGACTTGTTTATATCACTGTGGGCTCATGGATTCTTTATTTAAAGGATTATATTCTCTATTATCATTAGGAATCCCTTCAGGCAGGTTCTTGTGACATTTTAATATGTCCCCGTCATTCTTTGAGCACTTCTTTACTTTGGGGTATAACAAGATGACTTGTTATCTTATCATATTCTTTCTCTGCCACAGGCCTGGGATCAGCCATTTCTCTGAGAGATCTAATTCCATTATTAGAGATTTGAAAAATCAAGATTTTGGTTTCAGTGTGTGCATTGTAAATGTGTAAATCTTGCTTTTCATTTGTATTTATTTATTTTGTAGTACTGGAAATTGAACTAAGGGCCTCTCACATTTGAGGCAAGTGCTCTTCCACTGAGCTACAATCCTAGCCCTAGCTAACTTTTAAAAATGTAGTGAATTCTCAACATTTTATTTCCTGTTTGTAAAAAAGTCTACTTCCTGGGCCAGGGATTTAGCTCAGTGGCTCTGCCACCTGCCTCACAAGTGCAACGACCTGAGTTTGATTCCCAGTACCCAAAACAAAACAAAACAAAAGTCTTCTTCCTAACCTTTCTAATTCCTCATATAATTTTGAGTAGTTTTGCTATTTTGTATTATTTGAGTAAGGGGTAGGTAAAACCTAACTATGAGGTGTGATTGAAAAGTATAATCAATATTTAAATTTAAAAAACTATTACAGAAAAGACACATTGCCATTAATCTCCCTCAGAATACCCTCATTTCAAACACACTTACGCTGTCATTCTTGTCACTTTCTGAAACAAGTTTTGAAGGCTTCTTTTGTGAGTATCTTTAGCTGGATTGTAGTGGGCAATTTCCTGAATCCATTCAAAACATTTACCTCTCATGATTATTTTGACTTTGGGGAAGAGTCAAAAATCACATAATTTCATATCTAGTGAATAAGGTGGATAAGGACACACTGTAATATTTTCATGAATGTGCCTTTCCATTGGGTGTCACTTGGCAGTAGCATTCACTGAGAATTCACAGAGGCCTGTGTAGGTGTCTGATGAGTGACAAAGCTTTGAATCTCTTTCCTCACATTGTTTCTGTCTTCTTTGCTACCTTAACCTTTGGTCAGATGATTCCTTTTCAGCACTGCATGAAAACATGTTAATCATTTAGGAATGTTTGTCTGGAATTGGTAGTGAAGATTGACGTACCCTAAACAACTGGTTTGCCCTAATCTCTACCGCCTTCAAAGTTGAAGACACCAAGATAAGATCTGAAATATTGTCAATATTTACAGGAGCATCACAACTACCATGTTTCACAGTGTCATGTTCCTAACCACAGGAGAGGCGCATAGGTGGCTCCAGCCATCAGTCTTTTCCTGTCCTAAGACCACCTCTGTCCCTCTGCCTAAGGATAGAAGGAGCTTGAAACTTAATCTAGTTAAAATGATTTTTTAGGGTGCTGGGCTGCCATCATCTTGTTTTGCTAGCAACCTGAATAAATCTTTTTCTTTGCTCCAACAACTCATCCTCAATTCCTTGGACTCCTTTTTGAGCAGTGAGTAAACAGATTGGGTTCTGTAGCAAGTCTACTTTGCAGTGATTATTTAAAGGATTTCATATAAAGAATTATTAAGGAACTACTGGCCTACATAGAGTGCATATATTTTTTATTGCCATATTCTTAATTATCAGAGGAAAACTGATAGAAGTAAGAGGTAATGTAGGGGGAAAAACAATATTTTTCTAAAATCTCACAATTTCTTATTAAAAGGAAACCCAGTGACAAAAGACTGATTAAGAAGAGAAAGACAAGTGGTTTATTAACAAGTGTATTCCATGTATGTATGGGAGACACCGTAGGATTAATTCTCAAAGAGAAGGCTTTAAATCCCAGCTTATATGACATCTTCAACAGGAGCAGTATATTCTTAGAGAAAGCAGAGGCAAAGGACTTTGAGTCCTTAGGAGCAGGAACTTGTGGGAAGGGAACAGATAAAGTTAGTGAAGCTCTCTAGTGTAAATCTCTGGTTCGATCTGCCTGTGGGTGTGGGTTAAAGTTGTCTTCAGTGGTCAAACTTTGTTCTCCTTGGTAGAGAGGAGAGGGGGTGTAAACTGTGCTTTTAGAGCCAGGGGTTTAGCTCAGCAGTTTCACCACCTGCTGTGCAAGCACAAGGACCTGAATTTGATCCCCAGTACCAAAAACAAAAAAACTGTGCTTTTAGGTAAATGGAGGAATGAGAGCTTTTCTGCCTCTGTCTTTGTCTCAAAATGATCCTTATAACAAAGAGGTGGCATGTTCTGGTCTCTCACAGTGTCCGTTACAGACTGTCCTACTTTTGAGAGATTATCACCCAAAGCATATTCAGGTTTTGAATTAAAAACATTCCTACATTAAAAAAAGTGTTTTTTTGTGTGTGTAGGTAAGGGTCACAAAACTTCTTGGTGTTGATACAGTGAGTACTGTGATGTTCTTGGTACAGGCAGAACAAGTTCCTCTTGAAGTCCTTGAGAAAAAAAATGTAATTTTCAAGCTGCTGCAGAGGCAGGGGAAGCTTCAGTCTCTCCAGGGTTGCTATGTTCTTTTATCTCTAGTACTACAGAATGTCTTTCCAGACAGCAGCAGTTGGACCCATCATAGCCAGATGCTGAGTCTGCTCAGATTGTTCACCTGTGACATAATCATGGCAGGCATATTTCAGTTGTGCAGGTGGGGAAGTGTGTTCTACTAACTGTAAAAGGTGAATATGGGGGATAGAGACTTTTTTGAGCTGCAGGTTCTGTGCCCAAGCTTACCTTTGTCATCTGATTGGAGGTTCTGTGGAATTCTGAAATCTTGGTGGGCTGTGTGTTTGCATTTTATGAATTGTGTGCACAACAAAGATCAAATAGTCTGACACCAGGAATTTTTTGAAATACTACTAATAATTAGTAACTATATTAGTTAACCTATATTAGTAACCTATATTATTATTATTATATCAATGTGTTGTACACGTTAGTAACCTATATTAGTTAACCAATATAGGTATTATATGAAGAATTTTACATAGATAAAGTGTTCACAGTATCTCTATAAAGTAGAAATTATTACTATCTGTTCTACATTACATGGCTAATAAAAAGTATAGCTGCAAATCAACCCAGGCAGTTTAACTGTGAGATATGTACTCTTTGTATGTGTTTGTATTTTAATCTGAAAAAATATTCAGAATCTAGCAGAATGAAATTAAATGTCAGTATTATTTCCTTTTATTTTATTATTGGCATATGTTTGCAATACTTGATATTTTCATTCATTTGGGGGAGTTGGTGCATAAAGGTAACATATCTTGGTTATTTTCATTCTCCTTCCACTCCTCCCCTCTCCATTCCCCTCATATCCTTCCTCTATTCCAAAAAGTCTGCCTTGATTTTACTCTTTATTTATACTTGGGTTTCTCATGTAAGAGAAGCTATGTGATATTCAGCTTTTTGTATCTGACTTATTTTTTAGCATTGTGGTCTTAAGATCCATCCATTCTCCTACAAATGACAGGAATTCATTATTTTTTATGGTTGAAGAAAATTCTATTTTCTTTATTCATTAGTCTGTTGATGGGCATCTTTACAAATAGTATAAAACATCGCTTGTTGATAAATTTCAAAAACCATAAAATATTTGTTTTTTAGTCAGTGATCTAACTTCTAAGAATTTTCCGTGAAGGTGTAAAAGAATAACCATATATATAAAACTCTTATAAGTCTAATGTTAATAATATATATTGATATTACCAAGAAAATGGAAAGTAAATAAAATAAATAATCTTAAGTACTATACCAAATTGCCTATTTATTCTTCTCTTGTTCCTTTTGCACAAGTAGAATCTCTGAAATAAGTGGATTCACTCAGTGTCAAAAGAGTGTTTGAATTTTGTTCATCTTGCTCTAGCATGTTGAATGCAGAAAGCTAGAAGGCTGGTGTGACATTGTGCGATGGTCAATTTTGTCTAAAACAGAACTGTTCATAGTAATGAGTGATTTTTGGGGGTTGTTTTAATGCTTTATTAAGGTGTTTCATTGTTGTTCTTTTTCTTTTTTTCTTTTTTTGGTACCTGGCCCTAGTGTTGTTCTTTTAATAGTTACTTTTGCCACCTATAGCTTAATCTAGTCACCTGCCGTAGTTGTCTGTATTTTCCATAACCCAGAAACTTTGGTTAAATTTGATTCACTCTTCACTGAGAAACATTGCACTAGAGTATCATGCATATAAATGTGTATATATCAAAGGATATATTTATAAGTATAATAAATATAATAAACCTATGGTTGACAAATAAGGAATGAATGGTAATCAGATATTTTGATTACAGAGGTACTGTATAGATAACAACTTTTCTAGATTCTGAATAATATACAAATTGTCTAGATAATTTTAGACATTTTAATTACTCCTTGATTTGGAAGAATTTCATAAAACTTTGAATCATATTTCTGAGTGTAAAATTATATAACCCATGGGAAAGAAAAGAGCTGTAGAGATTTTTCCTAGCCTTCCAGTTCAGAATTCCTTCTGCATAGCCTCTTATTTTTGGCGTATATTACGTTGAAGAGCAGTTTGTTTTATCAGGGGAAAATGAGAATTCCAACTGTTCTAATAGTTTATTTTTATTTTTCTATATTTCTTCATATTCAGTGTTTCCCCCTTAACTATCATGTATTGTTAACATTATACATTTGTATGCTACCTTTATTATAATTTGAGCCAGTATTGATAAATTATCATTAAAGTCTATTCCATAATTTATTCAGATTTTACTAGTTTTTACCTAATGTCTTTTTTCTGCTCCAGTATCCCATCTAGGATCCCACATTACATTTGGTTGTTATATCTAATTAGGCTCATTTTGGCTGTGACAGTTGTTTAGTCTTTTCTTCTCTTTTCTATTTTGTTCTTTGCTTTTGACAGTTTTGAGGAATACTGGTCAGGTATATTGTAGGATACCCCTTTACTGGAATTTGTCTGATGTTTTTCTCATGATTAGGATGGGGTTATGGGATTTTGAGAGGAAGATCAGGAAGGTAAAGTGTCACTTTAATCACATCATATGGTATCAAAGGTTCATACTTCCTGCATGATTCATGGTGGTTGATATTGACCTTGATTGCTTGGCTAGAGCAGTGTTAGGTCTTCTCACTGTAAAGTTTCCCCCCCTTAATATTCTCCTCTTTAGGAGTGAGTCATGTATGTAGTCCACACAGGTAAAGGATGGGGAGTTATGCTCCCCTTTAGGGATGAAATATTTATATTATTTATATAGAACTCTTCTGCATGGGAGATTTTATCTATCATTTTATTAGTTTGCTCAAATTGTTCTTGCTTTCAGCATTGAGAGTTCTTTCACTTGGCCTCTTTGGCATATGCATGGATGTGTGTGTGCGTGCGCGTGTGTGTGTGTGTGTGTGTGTGTGTGTATGTGTGTGTATGTACATGCTCCAGGATGCTCCAGGCTCAGCTTGTGTATTTCCTGTTTCTGTCCTAGACATCTTGGGCTGACCAATAATCTCCTTGGGGCTTCAGTGCTCCCAACTACTAGTTACAGGGATTAAATTATATTTATTCATTCATAAGTATTTTTGAGTGCATACCATGTAGCAGATATTGTTTTAGGTACTGACAGCATAATGAAGAAAACAGGCTGTGGTCTATGCCTTTATGGGACTGGTCTTTGCTAATCTATCCTGTGCTGGACACTGTCCTAGGTTTTCAGCAAACAGCTCATAATATTTTCACCTTAAGGAACCTATCAGTTAGTTGAAAATATAGAGACAACAATAGGTAAACAGACAAAACTATACCCATAAAAATGCCATGGAGGCAGTAGTATCAGAGGAGACCCCTCCTACAAGCAGGGTGGTCAGGAAAACCTCTTTGTGGATGTGACACGAGCTGAGATCTGAGAGGGGAAAGAGAAGAGGCACCCCTGCAAGTCTCAGGCATGGCCTATATTGAAAAAGTGTGTCAGCTGGAGAAGACAAGGCTCACTAAAGCTTAACAGCACAGTCACAGAACACAGAGTGGACAGAAAGCATGTGATCTGTGAATGTATTGCTTAAAGTTGCTTTCATACAAGAAATGCTTGAGTCTAGGAACCTCTGGAGGTGTGGATATCATCAGTGAGAGGCAGCTACCTCTCATGGTGACCGTGGCCTGAAATTCAGAATAACTACTTCCTTTCCAAATAATGTTGTCTTCCTTTCTTAACACTTTTCTCTACTTAATTGGATGGCAGTGGTGGAATGGCTAGGTCAAGTAGTGTATGCACATGTAATTTTAATGTTAGTTAATTGGCTGGTATTGTGGGGAGCAGAGGGAATTGGTTCTGCTAACATTGTTATCCATCTGGCCCCATGTGAATGTTTGCCTGAAAGTCATTTCAGAAAGTTTTTGTTTTGTATTTAACTATCTTCTGCATGTGAATATCCACTTTTCCCCAGCACCATTTATTGAAGTGACAGTGCTTTCCCTGAGGTATGTTCTTGCTATTAAAAATCAGTTGGTTATGTGTGAATTTATTTCTATGCTTTTTATTTTGTTCCATTGGGATAGGCTTCTGTTTTTATGCCAGTATCACACTATTTAGATTACTGTAGCTTTGTGGTTTATTTCGAAGTCAGTGAGTGTGATGCCTTCAGCTTTATTCTTCTCTGTCAAAATTTCTTTGGCTATTATCTCTGCTAAATTCCTAAAGTGGAGTGGCTAGGTCAAGGAGCATTTGTACATGTAATTTTGATATATGTTATTAAATTTCCTCAGCAGTGGTTGTATAGTCAGGTGTTTTTCATTAAAATTACTATTAGTACTGGGAATATGTTTTACAAAGATTATTGTTTTCTTTTCTGAGTTAGAGGATTTATTTTGTAGGTTATCCAAATTTTGATAAGAGTAATATTATTCTAGATCTTTGGTTCCTATTAATGGCCAAAGACCCCCAAAGAGTTTTCAGATTGAAATTTAACACACATCAAACTATATAGGAAATGAATAATGTCTCTCACATGTAACTCACAGATTTCAAGTGTAAGTAATTACTGTTGTATTTACTAAACTACTAGATCTTTGAATAGTGTTACTGAATTCTTAGTTCAGTTAATAAAAGCTCAGCATCTTATTGGTAGGCCCATTGTTTTGATGATCCTTAGATTTTGATGGCATGTTGTCCTCATTTTATCAGTCTTCATGTGTTTTATCAGTTTGTTTTTAAATGTAACTTAGTCTGTGGATGTAAAAGAATAAAAACAAAAGGCTATGCATTTTATTTGAATATTTTGGAATAAAAATAATATTTCTCTTGTAGATGTTCCTTTGAGGACAAGCCTGCCACCACCATTCAGAAATTATAAGTATGGTAAATAATTTTTCTTACTCTTTTAAGATGAATATTAATATAATTTTGCATTATATTTAGTTTTTTGTTGACATGAATTCAAATGTAATTTTAAAAAGTTAATTTATCTGTAAGTAAAAACCAATTTAGAAGTTTCTTTAGGAATATAAGAATCCTACTGTATTATAAAGTAAACTGTTGTTTTGTAGGGAAATTGCATGTTTGTGAGGAATTGCATGCTTGGCAAAATTGTAATAAAAAAATTTTTTTTTAATTATGATGACCAAGTCAGTGTTCTACATGACAAAAATCAAAACAAAACAAATGTATACAGTAAATATACCAGTGCTGAGCACAGTACTTGAAATTTAACCTAAGCTACATATGCATAAAGTGACCTGACTATAGGATTATGCAAAATAATTTTTTTAGAACACCAGAATGTGAACCATTCTGACTATAAACTGACTTATTTCCCTAAAGAGTATTTTGAGACAATTTCTATATGACATGAAAAGAACTGACATAACACTTAAATACTACAAAAATAGTTGAAAACATATTTGTAATGCAGTTCTCTATAAAATATACAGTTAATCTTATTATTTAAAAAAATTGAAATGCAAAAGACCACTCTAATGGTGAAAACCTCATCAAAGAAAAATGCTCATCATTTGGATATCATTGGCAGAAAACTGATAAGATTTTGTTGAGGGGAACAAGGAAGGTATCTAATGAAGTCATTCATGTAAAATTTGTTCCAAAATGTTCATAAAGTTGTAAATTTCTGCTTGTAACACCTTAAAATATTATACCATGAACACACCTTCTACTATTTAACTGGAGGACAAAAGAATATCTTGAAGAAAGTGTTTCTCAAAATGAGGTTCAAAAGCCCAAAAGAATTCTAATGTAGGCTCAGTAATAAACATGGTAAACAATCACCCTGGGTGATTATTCTACATTCTGAAATGCCCTGTGGAAAAGAGCAACACTTAAAAGAAAGATCATAAACATATTTCTGACATGTTAGAATTCTCTATAAGTTTATGTTGTGAATACTGCTTTTTGTTTTAAAACAAGTTCCAGGCATTAAGAGAAACATACATGCCCCAGAAATGAACACATGAATGTCTATAAATATTTTCCTTTGATGGTTTCATTAGTTTCAAACTAAATTATATGAAGAAAAGACAATACATGACTATAAGCTTTGGAAAAGTAATATTTCTCATGAAATGCATCTGAAAAAGATTAAAAGAGACTTTATTAAATGTTTACAAATTTTAAATCATTCTGAATTCAAAACCAGATCATTAACTAAAATTAGGATGCTATATATCATCCTTCTGTTTTAGTATCATTTTCATGCCAAGGATGTGAAAGGTAACCATCATCATCTAAATGTAAATAAGTTATAATGGTACAGTCTTAGTTTAATTTAATTTTAGTTAATGATCTAGTTTTAAATTTAGAACAATTTAAAATTTGCAAACATTCAAGAAATCATCCTTTAACCACTTTCAGATGCCCCATTTCATGAGAACTATTACCTTTCTAAAGCTTGCAGTCATATATTGTATTTTCTTCATATAAAAAAGATACAAGTATATGTGTTTTAATTCAAAATTGTTGCTATTTTTTGGATTTTCCTGAAGACTACATAAACTGAGCCCAAAAGGTACAGGTAATGTGGTTGGAGAGAAACTAGCATAGATAAGATATTGTACTGAAAAGATAAATTGTTTGCTTGTATCACAAATAAAAAGAAAAAATATTAGGCATTATGTCCCACTCAGCAAATGGAATGTATATACAAGTGTGGTTTTCAAGCGATTGGCTCATTGTCATTTAAATAAGTTCATAAAAACTAATCTATGAACAAAAATTCCATATTCTCTAGTATAGACTATAAGAATCAAGTATTACATCTAAATATAACTTCAAAACAATAAATTAAAATTAGCTTCCAAACAACTCTGAAATGGTTAATTCTATCCAGGTGGTAACAAGTTTTTCCAAGCATTAAATGGCAACATAAGCAAAATGCATAGTTGAAAAATGAGGATCAGGGCCAGGGATTTAGCTCAGTGGTTTCACCACCTGCTGTGCAGACTCAAGGACTCGAGTTTGATCCCCGGTACCAAAAAAAAAAAAAAAAAAAAAAAAAATGGTAACTTCAAGGTTCTGAGGGCTTTTTTCTTCTGATTCATACATAATAAGATGATTGATATACTCAAAACCTGCAAATTCGTATCCATCAAGCTCCCTCATGATGTCATTATCATCTAGGGTGAGCCGGACAGGTTGGTTAGTAAATTCAGGATCAAAGTTGTCCAAACCAAATCCCTCAGAGATATTTGGTTTAAATGGAGGCACCACCTGTTTTTGCTCCATTATGTCCCAGTCCATATTTTGAAAGAATGGATGCTCCTGAACATCAGCGAAACCCCTGTGAGGATGACAGCCCAGTTGTTCTTTTGGGTCACTGTTCAAAAAACCATCTAGGATACTTGCAGCTTGTACAGACAGACAATGAGGTCTGAAAATGTCTCTTTCCAAAATTACTTGGAAGATTCTCGATTGAATCTTCATAAGGGATATCAGAGCTCTCATCAAGGTGGAATGGAGACTCTCCAATCATCATCATATAGATCAGTACTCCAAGAGCCCACAAGTCCACACTGCAACTGTAACCTCCCTCTCATAATTTCTGGAGCCATGAAATGAGGAGTGCCACAGAAAGTGCGGGTTGTGTCTCCTGGCTGTAAGCCTTCCTTACTCAAGCAATAATCGGTGAGTTTAATGTTACCTTCTGAGTCCAGTAATACATTTTCCATTCTTAAATTTCTGTGAGTTATTCCTTGCTGGTGAAGATAGTTGACTGCTAAACTGATTTCTGCAGAGTAAAACCTGGAATGTTCTTCAGGAAGTGTGCTTTGTGCTGCATATGAAACAGTAGCTCTCCCCCACTGACATAGTCTAGAACAAGGAACAGTCTGCTTTCTGTCTGGAAACAAGCATGCAGTGCAACTAGAAAAGGACAATTGGATGTCTGCTGTAGAATGTGCCTCTCTCTCTGTACCCGATGAATGTAGAAATGCTCTTTTTTCACTGCTTTCATGACATACATACAATCTGATTTTTTTCAGTTGGACTAACAGTATTTTCCCATAACTTCCTCTGCCAATCACGTAGAGCAAGTCAAAGTCCTCAAGACCTAGACCAGATGAAGCTTTGCCATTTTCTCTGATGTTCCCTGCCTCATTCTCTTCATCAACTTATTCTAAAGCCTCATGAGTTGAAAGGTTATGTGGGATCACTGTGTGTGCAGGGTCTGAAGCCATGAATGATGGATTGACTGGCACCATGAGCTCTGATGGTAAAGAACGCTGCCCACATTCAATTGTGACAAGTTTGTGGCACTTCTTTTGAACCGTGAGTTTGCAGTTGGTGCACTTATACACCTGGCGGCCAAGTCCCCCTACACGGACCGTGCAGACAACAAAGCATTTGGCCTGAAAAGTGTGGCCACTTGCATAATACAGCTTTCTCCAGTGGCCTGCAGCTCTGTGGTGGATGGATTTCTCTTCTCCTGGACAAGGCACTTTAGGATGTTCTGGTATACAAGGAGATGAATGAATTAAGAGCTCAGAATCTTTCTTTAGCTCAGAAAGCCTAGTGGCCTCTTCTAACTCCAACTGAGGTGACACAGTATACGGGTCTCCTTCCTCCTCTACCCAATGTGTGGTGAAATGCTGTTTATTGTCCAAGCACCACACATCTCAATCTTTTTTTTGGAGACAGGGTCTCACTATGTAGTTCAGGCCAGCCTCAAACTCCTGGCAATCCGCCTGCCTCAGCCTCCCAAGTGCTGGGATTACAGGCGTGCACCACCATGCCTGGCCCACACATCTCGATCTTTATCACGCAGGCCCTCAAAGTGGATGGAATTCTCAAGAGACCTTGTCATAATGTCTCTTCCCAAAATTAGGGCCGATCGGGTAGAGGTTTGGGTGGTGGAGGTGCCTGGGAAGAAGGGACCATAGACGGGTTGGCTGCCCAGGGAAACAGGCAGGCAGGTCTCAGAGAATAAGAGTGGCCTGACTGCTTGCAGGGACCACACTGGCTGGGATTCTGCAAGGCTCTCTATGAAGTTGTTTCCAATAGTGGTGGCCAGGCCTGGATGGATGTACACTAGGCTTCTCAGTGTCTCTCAGGGGCTGGTGGCTGTGACTTTGGTCTCCCCCACTGGACTTTGACTCTCTAGGTTTTCTGGGCCTGGCTCTGGGGAGACCTGCCCAGAGCTACTGGGTGTTTCTGGGCCTGGTGATACTTGCCCCATGCTCTTCCCAGTTTCTGTGCCATTGGTATTTGGGTTTAGGGAGACTTCACTGGGGTACCTTGATTTTGGTAGGTCACTAGTGGTCACTCCCGGGGAGACCGTCCATGGAGTGTCTGTGACAGTTGTGTGGCATCTGGATGGAGTCAGCTGTCTTCTTAATCTTTCACAGATACTTTCTCTACCTGGGGTCCTGAGGCTGTGGCCTCTTGAAGTGGAGAAGCAGCTCAGCATGTTCGCTGTTGACTGTCTCTGGCCAAGTGAGCTTGAGAGATGGCTGTTACTAGATAGTGACACCCATTAACTAGGGTTCCAAGTTCTGTTTGGAGATGTTGCCAAGGAAGTGAGCTCATGTCTTGGGGGTTCCATAACCTGAGTCCATGTAATAGAAAAGCCTATAGCCCTGTAGGGATAGCGACCCCCTAGGCAGGGAGAGATGAGCCCCTCCCCAAAGGAGTTCAGATAGCTGGCAGAACAGGCTTAACTACCCATAAAAAGCTGACAGTCTGCTGAGGTTGTACCTCCTCTTCATGCTGTATCCTGCAAAACTTGGTTTGCTAAGCTCAAAAGGAAAAAGAACCTTGGCCCTAAGATGTAAAGGGCCCCTGAAAAGACCCTTCCATGTTGTCCCTAGTAATGAGCTAAGTTAATTATTAACCAATCAAGTAGGGGCACCCTC